CGAGGGATGATCCAGGCAAGTCTGAGGAGGGGTGGGGCGTGTGTGGGGGTACCTGGATCCTGTGACAAGCATGAGGTCCTTAAACATTGTCTATCACACATTGCTGCCTGTGTCTGGCTTGCTGGATACTGGGGACCAACAGCCCAAGACCCTGGCCCTAGCCGGGACCACCCAGAATCCTTGAAGGCCAGTCAGGGCACAGGGGACCTAGACGGTCTTCCCTTTACCTGTCTTCTGCTTTTCTCTTGGGTGGTTTTTGTGGTTTCTTGGTCGCACAGCCACCTCTGCCTCAGAGAGATGCTGTCACATCTGCCACAGACTGTGCCTGGATGCCACAAATGCTGGCACCAGGCACCAGGGCTGGGTGGGAGCCATAGCCACCCCTTTCCACCACAGGGTCTGAGGAGGCTGCTCCTGCACCACCGCAGAAAACCTCGGCGCTGCAGAGACCCTACCACTGCCCCGTGTGTGGGGAGGACTTCCTCTTCACGCCCACTGAGGTGCTGAGACATCGCAGGCAGCATGTGTGATCCAGGAGCTCCAGGGAGCACCCCAGATGCTCCAGGCCAGAACTCTAGGGAACACGGGGGCGGGGGCAGTGGGGTGTCCGTGTAAATAAAGCAGACTTTGCATCTGAACCTGTGCCTCCCAGTGGGGAGAGCCACAGCTGTGGTCCAGGGCAAGCATCTGTCTCTGGCATTCACACCCCTGAGGGGCCCTGAGCAGGTTAGGTGACTTCGCTGAGGCTGCTCGTGCCTCCTCCGAAGGAGTCTGTGTGGGAATCTCAGAACCTCACCGCTCTCCCAAGGCCCCGCCGTCTGCTGCCCCAGGTTTGCCCTTCCTCCTGGGCCTCTGAGAGTTGGAAGGAGAGATGGGGCAGGTGGGACAATAGGCTCTGCCTGGGTGCTCCCCCACCCCATGTGCTGGGTAGTTTTCAGGGGTCTCTGCTAGACACACCACTACTTGGTGTCTTCTGCTCCTTCCCCCTTACCTGCAGGGGTGGTGCACACACGGCCCTTCCCT